AGAAATCACACTGCAATACATATCAAAGTGAAACATGAAAATCTCAAATGTATGGGCATAATGCAGGATGACCTACCTACCATACTTAGTGATATTGAGGTAAAACTGCCCTTGAACAGTATCTGGTGTGACAACACAGGGCAAGTGTGTATCAGGACAGCAATGTTTCAGAGATACAAAGCAACAACAGATAAAGCGGCGTAAAATTCAGTATTTTTGCGTTTGTAATGGCCATCAAGCTGCCACATTTTCCTACGGTACATCACAGCCACAATCATCACAGTATGTGTTTGCTAAATGGTAACATTTGCATTTTGCGTGATGTCATAAAACAACCCTACATCAGGTGCCAGGAGTGGTGGAGTGGGCCCTACGTAGACTGGACCTTGTGGAGCATGCAGACAAACCAGCAGGCCAGTACTCTGGTGGTAACAGACGGAGGCTGTCGGCTGCCATTGCTCTCCTGGGAGCCCCTCAGCTCCTCCTACTGGTGAGTGGGCGTGGCTCTCTGATTGATAGACAGTGAAACCTCTGAACAAGGGACACTATGGGGCCAAAGATTTTGTCCTTTGTAGAGAGGTTGTCCCGATCTCAGAGGGTCCCTTATCGGAGGTTCCACTGTATTTACATAAACTGTAGAGTATGATGATAAGAGTCCAGTGGGACTATTCTAATCTGGACACCGGTGGGATTGAAGAAAGTGTCCATTATTGGTGTGAAGTGTCCCTATTTCAGGGGTTAAAACTACATGCAAGAACTGCCTTTGGGGAAAGCAAAGGTGTCCTACCTAGAGCGGTGTCCTTTGGAGAGTGGTTCACTGTTCAAAAGATGTGGAAGATGGACTTGTAATTGGGATGTGACTATAAGTGTGATCCATGATGTACATATACATTTACGTAGTAGCTGTACTGCCACCATACTGTACATACCTTAAATCTCCGAGTACATTCTTCATACTCTGATATCCTATACCTCATACCTTATCGCATACCCATACCCCACACTCAATACCTCGTATAGCTCTTACTCCACTAACCACTCCATACTCCATACCCCATATACCCCAGGACGAGCCCACCTCCGGGGTGGATCCCGTGGCCCGTCAGTTCCTGTGGTCGATCATCAGAGGTGTGGCCAGCGCTGGTCAGTCGGTCCTCCTCACCACCCACAGCATGGCTGAGTGTGAGGCCCTGTGTTCTCGAGTGGGTATCATGGTCAACGGGTCGTTCTGTTGCCTCGGGACACCGCAGCAACTCAAGAGTCGCTACGGAGACGGGTACAGACTGAAGCTGCGAGTGAGCGGAGAGCTGGAGCCAATTCAGGAGTTCATCAGACAACACTTCCCTCATTCCGTCCTCAAGGTTGGTATACACTACTACTCTGTCTACATCAGGTGGATGAGTTTCACATTCCACCAGCTAACAGCAAAAGTGTTGACTAATCCAAGCATTTATGATAAGCTTTGTGAAAATTAAAGCGAGACACAAATATGTGACCGTAGTATAATACTCTCAAAATGCCATCACATGCTCGTCTCCTCCCTCACCCTCTCATCAGGAGAAGCATCTGAACACTCTGGTCTACCAGCTCCCACCTACCGGTCTCAAACTCTCCGAGGCCTTCAGGGACCTGGAGAGAGGCAGAGAGACACTGGTGAGGGATCACATGACCTCATGTGATAGCCACGTGACTTTAGGGAGTACATGAAAAGCCTGTAAGGGATCACGTTACCTCATGTGATAGTCGCATGACCTTATGTAGGAGATTTTGACCCCAACCTAATGTTGATGGAACTGAATTGTGTAACCGTCATCAATAATTACATCATAATGATGTCATCACTGCAGGAGATACGAGACTACTCTCTGAGTCAGACTACACTGGACGATGTGTTCATTCATTTTGCCAGTCAGCAGAGCGAGGAACAGTCGCTGGCTGGAGAGGAGGAGGAGGAGGAGGAGAGGAGGGTGGGGCACTATGGCCCACTCCCAGATATTGTAACCCATTCTAGAGGGGTACGTGGCTCTACATGTGTAGTTGAAGATTATTATGTGAATTCGTTCGTCCCTTAAAATGTGCCAGCCTAACAGTTAAAGGAAACGTGGCAATATATATAAGGCTAAACTTAGAAATGTGACTAAAAACGGAACTGCATTCTTTCACTTTGCCCCTATTGCTTTGCTTTAGCAACATTTAGCCTTTTATATATACTGACACGTCCCCCTTTAATTTCTCAGAAACCACTCCCTCTGTACTTTGCCAATAGTACGCAATGTTTTCTCTATGTGTAACTTGATGCATTGTGCACTGACCTCGTTTGTGTTGTAGTAACGTCTAAGTATGCGCATAAGGTCCAGTTCTTGTATTGCTGTAGTTTTTTAGCCTGAAATTCCAAATGTAGATTTGGATATGTGCATTATGTAACCTCTGGTGTCTCTGCCAGTAGTATGCCTAATGTCCCCAGCCAGTATCAACTTATTCCCGCATCTCTACAGAGCCACACAACATGGCTCTATACAGCTGCTAGAACTATATATTATAGAGACTGCCCACATGGTCCTACGATTCCCTTATGCTACAGCTAATGTTCTGTGTATGTATCCTGCGTCCAAAGGTCTCTCTGTCTTTACCACATAACATACACTTCCCTCAAAGGTGTCAGATTTGAATGACGTAATGTGTGGACCTAACAAAAAAGCTGTATGCAATAAAATTAATGTTCCGTCTTCCATCCATTGCAGGGTGTGAGGTATACAGTTGTGAAGGATGATGTCACCATTACCTAATCTCTCATCACATGACCACCACCAACGCCACTACCTCTCTGCTTTTTAAAACCTGAACAATACATGTTTACTAATCAACTTGTGGAAACTTGCACTTTTTTCACTTTCATTTATTTATTCATTATTCCAAGCACATAATTGTTGTATACCATAGATTTTTTTTCTACGTCATTCTTTATCCCTGTGGGGCTTTCAATACTGGTGGCCATGATAGCTTGTGGATCCATTTGTATACTAGGAATGCGCAAGCGCATATTTTGCCTCGCGCCAGCCACTCTGCGCACGAAGCCAGACTTCCTGCGCACGGCGGAAGCTAGACATCCTACGAATGAGGGAAGTTACACTTCCTTTTAGTGACTAATTTACATTCCTAAGCGTGACTAATTTACATTCTTAAGCGTGACGGACGTATAATATACGCATATCGCGAGAAGACAACCCGGAGTAGTTGCCTCGCGCAATGCGCTCGGCAATAAGGTTTTCGTGGGCTATCCTGACCGTCTACAATCTAGTTGTTGGGTCTCATCATAAGCTTGTAATTTTAGTTCCAACTGGTCCTCTTCAAACAGTCGCCGTTGGTTTTGACAGTAGCTCCTGGGACCCACGCCATTCCATATGGTTTTGGTCTATAGTACTGAGTCAGGTGGTATTGTAAAGTGGCAACAAGAGTTGTATAGCAATAGCTAAAATCTTCATCCTCAGTTCGCCCATTCTCAATCTTATGTTGGATGAATAATAGCAGCTGTGTTTTATAGAAGCTGATAGCTACATAGATATCTTAAGATTGGCAGGATATAATTATAGCCAAACTATAGCTTTTACTGCAGAGTTTTAACCAGCCACGGACACAAATGTGCCCAGAGCCTCCATAAGTCCATAAGAATTTATATGGGGCATAATACTATATAGGCGCTAATACTTTATACATCAATTTCTGTTTAAGTTTTAAGGAGATACTCATGGCATCCAAAGGGTTTAAAGATGAAAAGCACTAAAAAGCTCTGATATAGCTATACAATAATCTTGATGTTTTAATGTGTGGTCATGTACCCATACAATTCAACTGGGTGGAGGTGGACTGAAGAAGACGGTAGCATTCTCTTTGAAACAGGGAAAACACTTGACCCTAGTCGTGTGTGGCTTTGGTACAGTATGCCTCTCCCTTCCCTTCACTGCCATTTGAACGTTCCACCCATGCATGCAAGAGGTCTATATAGTATGAAAGAGGTCTAGTAATCCACAGAATGAAAAAGCCACTACAAGCATATCCTTTCTCTACCATAAAGTACATTAGCTAACAGTTTCCAGACAATCCTGTGGCTTTAGCCTGATAGTGGTGGAAGTGGCCCGAGGGTGATGTCACCATTACCTACTCTAAAAGCGGGATTTATGTATGTATCCGAACCGGCACATACTAATACGCAAACTGTGCAAAATATTGAACTGCTCGCTATAAGCTCGCCAAAAATGTGTTGCATTCCTGTAGAATGATAATTATATACAGAGGTAATTTGCAAGATTGGCAGTGAGAGGACATACTTACAACAGAGAAATTCTCAGCAACTTCAAAAGGTAATCAATTGCCTTTGTTCAGGGCAACCACCGAGATACAGCGGATTTAGCTTTCCTCATGAACTTAAGTCAATAAGAATGTTGCAAGCATAGTTATTTAGGCTTTGCCATAGAAGACTTTGAGCCCCGGCTGCCGAGCTGCCGAGAGTGTCGCGGATTGGAGTTCCACCTAGGGCAGCTCTTTTTGGGCCTTTGCTTCACACCATACCTCACCTTACTTATGATTCATGCAGATAGATACACAGAAGCTGCGAGCGGGTTACGAGATACAAACTAGTGGCTTAGTTTACAAAGGGGCATGTTTCATTGCAGAGTGTCACCATTACCTAATCTACATAACGTGACCACCACCAATTGGTTTTCATTCAATACATGTTGATTAATCATAACTATTCTAGTGCTATAGTGTCACCTCTCTACTTTCATTCACTGTTTATAGTCAATTGTTGTCCTTCCTGGGCATTACCCTGGTGGTGGTAGACGTGACCAGTAGTTCTGTTTTTGTGGCTGATCATTGTCCCAGCTTGCCCATTCTGGTGGTGCTAGTGGTTGGGCGTTTTCATAAGCTCGCAATTGTTGTTGGGCAATCTTTTCGTAAGCTTGAAATAGTTGTTGCAACTGGGCCTCTTCAAACAGTCGTTGTTGGTGTTGACGGTAGCTCCCGGGCCATTTCATATGGTTTTGGTCTTTAGCTGCAAAGCCAGTTGGTTTTGACAGCTGCTGGGCATCTTTGTAAGGTGGTGGTGGACAAGCGGCAACAGTCTGCAGAATGCAGAAAGCAACAAGTGTGGTAGCAATAGCTATCTTCATTCTCCGTCTCTGTGTTCTGTCAATAGAATATATAGCAGCAGCGTCTATGTCTTTTATAGCAGCTGGACAGAGGCTATTTCAAGATTGGCAGAATATATAGCCAAACATGCTTTTTACTATTAGAGTGTAGTCTTAGAGCATATTAGACGATAATTAATTGGCATTGTTTATTGTCAACACGGCTGACTTAACTGCCAAACTACCAAGATAGCTACAATAGAGAAATTATCAGTAACGTTTAAAGATAATTAATCAGCATTGTTCAAGAACTGACCTACTAACGAAGTAGGAAGTCAAGATAGCTGAACTCAGTAATGCCTTGCCAAATCTATAATGGGACATGCAGACACTTACAGTGGAACCTCCGATAACAAACTCCCCCAACAGTGAAAACCTCTCTGTAATGAACTTATTCCTATGTATATACCAACTGCCTTTACCATTATAAATTATACCTCTCAATAAAGCAAACCTCCGAATAATGAAAAAAATTGCTCTCCCAATATTTTCGCTACTCAGTATAAGCAACCCAGTCGCCAGGTGAGCTCTCTCCAGTGAGTTTTCCTACAGTCGGCTATAATTATAGTTCATGCAATTAAGTGCGTGTGGGTGGCATTTACGAAAAGATCGCCCAACAACAATGTCTGGATGTTCCCTTCATTTCCATTGAATTATGCATGAAGATAGTCATGATGTCACCATTACCTAATCTCCATCGCATGACCATTTGCTACTAATGTTACTTCCCTGCTTTAAAAATCGTATAGTGTGACAGTATATATTCTTAGTTCTAGGTACTTTCTGCAGTTTTAGCCCCATGGGGGTTATTAATCATGTCTAGTCTGTTTTCGTGGCTTCTTTTGCCTGGCCCATTCATGCAGTGCAGTTGGTTCTAGTGGTTGGGTGCTTTCATTAACTTGTTGTCGTTCTTCTACGTATTCATGTGTTTGCAATTGTTGTTGGGTTATCTTTTCGTAAGCTTGAAATTGCTGTTGCAACTGGTCTTGTTGATTTTGACGGTAGCTCCTGGACCATTCCATATGGTTTTGGTCTTTAGCTGTAAAGCCAGGATCTGGATATGGATTTGGTAGCTGCTGGGCCTATTTGTAATGTGCTGGGCATCCACAGACTGCAGAATACAGCAGAGAGCAAGAGTGTCAGCAATAGCTACAATCTTCATAGTTTTCTGTTCTATAGTGTTAATATGCATAATGTTTTTATATGGCATCTAATTTTAATACAGAGGCTATTTTAAGATAGATTGGCGGAATAGGCAAATAGCCTTTTTACAAATTTTGGCATAGTAGTGGAGAAATTCTCGGTAACTTTGTAAGATAATGAATTGGTTCAGTGTCAACAAGGCGGACTTACCATTGAACCACCATCATAGTTTGCTCAAGACAGAACTCGGTTGTGCCTTGCCAAATCTAAAATGCAGCACATGCAGACAACTATTGCAGACAATATTGGAATAGTATATTCTAAAGAATTGACTTTGTTGAGGGTCAACATGACTTACTTTCCAAACCGCTTTTCTCATGACAGTCTTTACCATTATAATGCATTATAGGTGCAAGTGGTGCACTAGTGGCTTAGTTTACGGTAGGATATGTTTCGTTGCGGCATACGTACAGTTGTCAAGAATGATGTCACCTTTACCCAATCTACATCACGTGACCACCACTAATGTTATAGACCTCTCTGCTTTTCATTCATACCAAGTGTGGAACTTTCGAACTATTTTCTAGTGCTTAGTGTCTACTGTCATGCACTGTTTTTAGTCCAAGGTAAGTAAGTAGCTAACGGCCTACCATCGCCTAGCAGGTTATCGCTAGCACACTTTGATAGCTTGCTCTCACACACACACGGTCTCAGTCTCAACAACATCATCACACGTGACGTCTCGTGATCACACATGGACAGTATAGTGACAGATGATTACACAACATTCCAAGTACATATGTAGTTAGCTACTCTAAGAAAACCATAGTCAATTGATGTCTTCCTGGGCTTTAGCCTGGTGCTGGTGAAGGAGGCCTGTAGTTCTTATTCCTGGGTTGTCATGACCAATCTTGGTGCCTGGCCCATTCATACAGTGCTGGTTGGGTGTTTTCATACGCTCGCAATTTTTGCTGGACAACCTTTTCCAAAGCTTGAAATTGCTGTTGCAACTGGTCCTCTTCAAACAGTTGTTGTTGGTGTTGACGGTAGCCCCTGGGCCATTCCATATGGTTTTGGTCTTTAGCTGCAAAGCCAGTTGGTTTTGACAGCTGCTGGGCCTCTTTGTTACGTGGTGGAGGAGCCACCACAGTCTGCAGAATACAGAAGGCAACAAGAGTTGTAGCAATAGCTATAATCTTCATCTTCAGTTCGTCTGTTCTTTCAATCTTATGTTGGAGGAATAATAGCAGCTATATTATATTGAAGCTCTGATAGATATCTTAAGATGGCAGAAGAGCCAAACTAGCTTTTACTGCAGAATTATAGGTGAAAAGCACCAAAGCTCTGATACAATATAGAGATTGGCAGAATAGCCAAATAGCTTTTACTGTAGATAACAAACTGGCATTTTCTGGGTCAACATGGCTGACCACAAAGATACTGGTGAAGTCCACCCTCTCTTAACCTCTCTTGTTACAGAGGGTGTCCAGTCCAGGTTTTCCCTCTCTAATGGGAAGTGTACCATGCTCGTCTGACAAACATTGATATGAGTGTATTCTTGATCCGTAGCCTGCAATCAAACCTAGCCCCTTCTCCTGGATTGGACACCACTACAGCGCAGTTGCCAGCAAATCTGGGATCAG